ATAGATTTCTTTAAGTCCAACACTAGTAGGCTTAGTTAATAAATAAATAATAGATGATTTTTTTAAAATAATTAAAGATACGTTGGATTTGATTTTTTAATATATTTGTTTGTGGTGGAATTGGTTTATAGATTCTTTTTATTCGAACTAGCACAAAAACCGTTTCAATTCAAGTATTTGATGTTTTTGAACTTTATGAAGAATAAGAAACAGAGTAGAAAGATTAATGATTACTTATTTCTAAATATTCATTAATGATTATCAAGCAATAATGTTCATGCATATAAATACTTAAATGAATGGAATGAACAATAAATATATTAGCAATACGAATCATAGTCCACTCCGTATAATGATCAACTTACAATATAGATTAAAACCAACTACGAATTGAAACTAACTACACTAATCCTAGAAAAAAGAAAAGAAATGTGGTCAAAAAATTAGTACCCAGCAATCGCGTGCACGGAAGCCATATGCGCGGGCAGAAAGTGCTTATAAAGTGCAAGTATGAAATTTCTGACCCTTGTGAAGGTACTTATTTCTCGTATTTATAGAATTTAATTGAGAACGGTTAATCCTTTGCAAGTACATCGTGGATGAGTAACTGCTGTCCACTACTCTCAATGACGTGTAATTTCTCAACCGTTCACCCACATTCTTCAACTCTAATCTTCAAACCTTTGTCCAAATAACTACTTTGGTACAACTGCTCAAAAACCACCCATAACTCCTTCTTTGCGTTCTCGATCAATCTTCAAACAAGATTTTTGGTAACTACCTTAGTGTAACTGCTTAACTACTCATAGAATCCTTCACCTCTTACATTTTTCGACCAATTCTCGAGTTCGTACATTTAAGGCTTTTAATACTTTCTTGGCAGGTACCTATTTGTTTGTCTTTCTTTCGAGTAGCTTAAAAAGTGTAACTTTCGAGTGATATAGTTCTCGAGTAGCCCCAACAATATTTTATCACGTTAATTAATACGTGTATAAATAGTTGATGGATAAGAAGTAAATTAGAATTTTACAAAATTAATTTTGAAGTTAAAGTTTCCTGCTTATAAACACTATTTGTTAGTGAAATGAATAGACACAGTTAAATTCGAACACGCGGTATCCTTTTGAAACAGATCTAATTTCAATTAGAAAAAAATTATTTTTTAATTGGATTTGAATTTCTCTACAGATTTGAATTTAAGTGACCAAATTGTCGCGTAAAATGATAAGCATGTGTAATAATTAGAAATGCAATTTCTTATACTTAAGAATTTTTTTGAGGGAAATTATGTTTATAAGAAATATTAATAATATTATTAATTAAAGGTGGAATTTATATAAATTGTTCTTAAAAAAAATGAAAGACACATGATTCAATGAAATTTATATAGATTTTATTTAGTAATAAAAATGTCATTTAAAATATCTTTTTAAAAGAATTTTCTAGTAAAATTAACTCCGTACATGTGATGGAATAAAACTACTCTTTCGATTGTTAATCTTCGGTTGTTTTTCAGCATTTTAATTTTGTATCAAAACTTTAGTTGATTTTTAATTACGAAATATTATTGTGCCTTTTCTCCTTTCTAATTATACTTACATTTACATATAGTAGAGTAATAAAGAAGATAAATTAATAATTTTTATTTTACAAAATATTTATAATGAAATTCTACTTAGTGACACTTGTACAGAAAAGGACCATTATTCCATTGATTACTAGGACGTCAGAAAGACAATTATAATTTGAAATAAATAAAAATAAATAATTAAAATAATACAAAATTTATAAAAATAATAGAGTATATATGAATATTTTAATATAAATTTATATAAATTAAATATTTTTTTAATCCATGCAAGAGTATTGAGCCAATGAAAACATTTTTTAACAAAAATGTTATATAAAAATAAAATACGATTTAAAGATTCTCAATAAAATTATAGATCATATATTTCATTTCAGGATAAGTCTTTATTAAAGGATATAAAACATTATAAAAATTGAATCAAATTCTTGATCTTCATATAAAAATAAAAATATTTAATTAATTATGTGATACTATAAACACATAAACCAGTTTATGAATAAAGAAAGTATAAGTCCTAATTTATTGTGAATGTAACTTAATTAAGCAGAAAGATCTTAATATTTTGCTAGTGGATGTGCTTGATATGGTGAAGATTTGGAAAATACTTCTCACCTATTATTCGAATGTTATTATGCTTATTCTGTATGGTTATCTGTTTTTGCTTGGTTTGGTGTTTCAACAGTTTTACACAACTTTTGTCATGAAAATTTTGCTCACTTTATTGGATTTTCTAGATGCAGTGGTAGAGATAGGATGAGGTGGTCTGTGGTTTGGTTAGCCACAATTTGGTCTCTGTGGCTTGCTAGAAATGATGTCATTTTTAAAGACAAGATAGTGGCAATTACGGATTTAGTGGAATTAATCAAACTACATAGCTGGAATTAGATTAAGACCAAAGATAAGTCATTTTTTTATCCATTCTCAGCATGGTTTCCTTCTCCTGGTGTTTGCCTTAACTTCTGGAATAATGATTCTTTCTGATTCTGTACACACCATGGTATTAGTTTTGTACCTGATTTTCTGACTACTGAACTTGTTTGATTATTAGATGACATTTTATGGTCCTAGTTTTGTAATAGTGGTAGACATTACAATCTGATGATTACCTTTTATATGGACTATATTGAATTTTGTTTAGGTGACTTTATATTTTGTAATGGGTTGAGGTACCCCTTGTACTCCCCTTAATTTATTTTTCTTATAAAAAAAATGATGGGATTAAGAATGTCATAATCTTTATGACAGCGTGACGATCAAGAGAGGGGCGTCAATTTATCCGCTAATCTCGTTACTAATTTGGATTACTTGCTTCAATTTCAAAAAGTGGGATTATTTTTATCCCACACATTTCAGTTTTCAATATGCTAAACAAAAGCAAATTCTTGATTTTCGTTTTCCTTTTATTCTGATGGAATAAATTAATGTGCTTCCAGATGATTAAGAAACCCTGCACTTTTCATTGACTTCTACAAAGCTAATCAATCAATGTGAACATTCATTTGAAAAGTTTCACATAAAATTCATTAATTCAAGGCGTTTTTTTCTTGTTGCCATCACAATGGCTCAACATTATGGTAATCTATAGCGTTTTGTGATGGATGGTGTTTGGTTCTCATTAATTGTTGATGTGAGTGATTGGGTATATTAGTTATTGTGGTGTGAACATGAATGATAAACTCTATAATATCAAAGTGTGACAGTAAAATGTAACTAGTTTTTTGACTAAGTTTTTAGGTGGTAATTATATGTGATGATGGCGATTTAAGCTATATGTGCGAAATTTGTATAAGAAAAAGATGAAGATTACGGTGAATCACTTACCATACTCCATATGAAGATTAAAGCACTTAAGTTCGCTCGCTTAATTATATATTTTGTAGGGTGGTAATCCACCGTGGAAAAAATTAACAAAACCATTATAATATGTTTGGATAAAAGATTTTACAAATTCAAAGAATTTAAATTTTTTTATATTTAAATTATTTTGATTTTAATTTTTATTATTTTAAAAATGTTTTATTTGGATAAATCAACTTTAAAATTTTAAATTTTTTAATTTAGATATAATAATTTGATTCTATCATGATAAAATTTATTTTAAAAATATATTTATATATTAATATTTTTAAATTAAATTTTATAAAATAAATATTAACTAATTTTAAAATATTAAAAATATTTTAAATATTTAATATTCAAAATGAAAGAATAAGAAATAAAATAAAAATATATAAGAAAAATAAAAAAATAAATATAAAGAATTTTAAATTCTTATTTTTTTTCAAGAATTTGAAATTTTACTATTTTAAAAATTTTCATAAATATTTAAATTTTAAATTCTTCATAAATTCTTAATCAAAATAAAATATTTTATTTCAAAGAATTTAAATTTTTTTAAATAAATAAATTATCTTGTTTAGTTTTCTTGTCCAAACACACTCTTAGTTACCGTGCGCCTTCTCGCACTATAGCAACACTTTCCACGTCAGCCTCCATCATCCGGCTCTTCTCCACCGCGGACCGCCTTCTCTTCGGCCACGTCACCGCAGACGAATCCTCCGCCTCCGTCGCCGTCGCCGCCGCTTCCCCGTCCTCCTCATGACCGTTACCGGCTTGTTTGTATGCATCTCTCTCTCTCTCTCATTTGAATCATTTCCTCTTTCCTTCACACTTTCTTCTACGCCTAACGATGATTACGCGGTAATTTTGGCTAATTCAGATTCAAATGCTATTGGACGCGAACCAATGCTTGTATCTGCTGCCGTTGAATTCGCTGCTCCTTTTCATCTCACTCATCATTTTGTTTCCTTTTTTACTCCTTTTATTGCTAGCGATTTCGATTCGCTCGTGTTTGTTCCTTGTTTCGCATTCTCACTTCAGACATTGTTCTCTCTCCTGGCATTGGCGATTTTTTTTTTTTTCGATTTTAGTCATTCACTGTGTATGCGCGACTTAAGTAGGTCTTTTGTTTGATCTGAATGTGTTTTTCTTTGTTATTGTGAATGAGTCTGTGCGAGACGATGTTGAAGCAGGCACCGTGCCGGAAACGAAACGCCGCCGGAGGGTTGCTGAGAAGGGGAAAACAATGCTGTTGCTACGGTGCAGGAGTGTGCATCATAATAATTGAAAAATACACTAATCTAATTGTCATTGTTTGAAATGTATGGGGACCACGGTGACAGTTGAATTCGCCTTAAAACAGTGATTTTAGCATTTTAGGCATTCCAACTTTCAAGCATAACAGAATTATTATAGAAGAAGGGATTAACCACACTTTTTATTTATTTATTTATAGGAATCTCAATGATTAAATGAAAAGTGAAACCAAGATTAGAACTACATATACATATTATTTCAACTTCTTTATTATGGGAAATCTTAATGACAATCTCTAACAAACACTTACTAAGTACTCTTTATTATTGATTAAAACTTATTACAAAATCACAAATTTTATATACTCTGAAATTTCATTCAAAGAGTGTTAGAAAAAGAGTGCATTAGAACGAGTATATGGCTAAGTTTCTTATCGCGTATGTTTTGGATACACTGACTGACAAAATGTCAGGAAAGTAACCCACATTTAAGGTGACACCAACGTATGGGGACAGTTTGATGAGGTTCCTCTTGCTCTGCTGCCTCTTGTTGGTGGCAGCTCACGACAACACTCTTTGCTTTTCCTTTCATTTCACTTTCTTCCGTTTAAATGTTGCTCCAACTCTCAAGCCACTTCTTTACTTCCCTCCTACCACCATCACCATCATGTGTAAACTGAATACACGCACCAACATTGTTGAAACTTTAAACTAACTCAAACAATCCACCAACAACATCTTCTGCTACACTGCACAACATTTGTTACTCCTAGTATTACAAACTATTATTGAAGTCAGATCTATGAATCTAGTTTATAATTAGTACATTTTCCATAAGCTTTGGTTGGTTGGGTTGCTGTTGCTCTTTATTTTGGCTAAAAGGTTTTTAAATTTTGGAAGGGGCCGAGTCTTTTTAACCAATGAGGATCAATTTCAAATAATCCAAACGTAGAAACAGAAAGTTCAACAGAAGGGTAGTTTTCATGGCGTCAAATACTGATAAGGTTCAGGTCTTTGGAATCTGAGCTATGGTAAGTCCAAGGCACTTTCTTATTATTGTTTGTCTCGCTCTTTTCTCAGATTTCACATGTCTACCCGTGTTTATCTAGAAAACCTTTTACCCTCTTCTCTCTTTCTTATGACATCATCATTACCTTTGAAAAAATTGTCATCTCTCTCTTCCTTCTCCCCTCCCTTTTTGTGTTCCCATAAGTTATGGGATTTGGTTTCCGTTGTTTGAACGTGTTATGCTTTGCATTATGTCTGATAAGTATGGTGTCTGGAATGGTCTAAAAGCCACTTTCTGATTTCCATTGGCGTCCTGTCAGAGTCAGTTGTGTTTTAACAACCATTTCATGACAAGAGTTGTGAAATTCTAAATTCAGGGTAAAAAGGGGAGTCTGGCTTTCTTCATTTGGCTACTCAAGACCAATGTTCTTTTAGATTAGCTCTACAGGCTTAGACAGTCTAAATAGTAATCATAGTACAATCATTTCAACTGAGTTCATCAATTTCAAATTTTAATGCATGTTGAATTCTAAAAGAACTTTGTTTGTTTAGTTCATCGATATCTTTGAAGGTTGGTCTTTAACTGAGTCAAACCACGTTTTGTGATCCATAATTTCATAAAGCGGAACTCAGTTAGTGGATTAAGAGTGTGAGACTTTGGTTGTTGTTTTGTTTGTTGAAGGTGTTGAGCCCCTTGTGAAAGGGTGCACTGAGAAGTGATTTCTGTTGGGTTCACTCTGAAATCCACACTTTTTGGAAGATGTTGTGCGCTTGTTCTGGGGAGCAATTCAAATTTGAAGAGGCGCCACAGTCACCTGACTCCTTGGCAACAAGGGATTTCTCTGCAAGTGGCCTTTCTTCAAGGACTGGGGATTGGGAATCCAAATTTGATGAAACACAAGTGGAAGATGTTGAATCTACTCTTAAAGAAGCTCTCTCATTAAACTATGAGGTATGAATAGGTGTTTCTCTCAAAGTGACATTATTTGTCAAAATATCACGCGAAATTATTTTCTTTAACACAAGACTAATACTGTGTGATTTTAACCTTATCATTTTTTGGTGAATTTAAGGAAGCCCGGGCGTTGCTGGGTAGGCTTGAATATCAAAGAGGGAACTTTGATGCCTCCCTCCAAGTGTTTGAGGGTATAGACATAAGGGCTTTGATCCCAAGGATGATCAGGGCTATAGCTGAAAGAACCAAGCAAAGAAAACCACGGTCCAAGACAGATAATGTGCTTCTTAATGTGATGTCAATGCATTCAGTAAGCCTGCTTCTTGAGGCAATTTTGCTTAAATCCAAATCCTTAGAAGAACTTGGGAGATACACTGGTATCACCACCTTCATTTCTCTTTCAGATGTTTTATTTATTCTTGTATTTTGTTTGATTTAGCATGTTCTTGCTGAGAACTGTAATTTTTGCATTTAGGATATTGAAAGTTTTGCTGTTTTACGAGGAGAATCTTGAACAGTTGTCCATATTGGCATCAATGCATTATCAATGCTTATAAATGTAGCTACGTTATATATGTGTGTTTCTGTTTTTCGGACTGAGAGGAAGCTACTTATGCATGCATGGTTTGGCACTCAAGGGTGCCAATTCTAATTACTGCTGCTTTCTTATTTACCAGAGGCAGCAAAAGAGTGCAGAATTATTGTGGATACAGTTGAATCTGCTCTTCCTAGTGGAATGCCTGAGGGTATTGGTGAAGATTGCAAATTGCAAGAAATGTTCCACAAAGCATTGGAATTGCTTCCAAATCTATGGATCAAGGCTGGTTTTCTAGATGAAGCTGTCACTGCTTATCGGCGGGCTCTAGTCAAGCCCTGGAATTTGGAGCCGCAGAGGTTGGCCTGTGTACAAAAGGATTTGGCTACCACACTACTCTATGGTGGTGTTGAAGTAAACCTACCCTCTCAGTTGAAAGTGAAGGGTCTAACTACACCTATGAGTGGCACTGAAGAAGCAATACTTTTGCTATTAATACTCTCAGGAAAGATGGCACTTCAGGAAATAGATTGGGACCCTGAAATAATGGATCATCTTACATTTTCACTTTCAATTACTGGGATGTTTGAATCATTGGCAGATAATGTAGAGAAGATCCTTCCAGGTGTTTATGATCGAGCTGAGAGATGGTACTTTCTTGCTCTTTGTTACAGTGCGGCAGGACATCATGAAGTAGCCTTGAACCTTTTGAGGAAGGCTTGTGGTAGTTCTGAAGCAAAGCATAGACCCCATTTTCCTTCATTTTTGTTTGGTGCAAAACTTTGTTCTCTACATCCAAACCATACTCATGAAGGCATTAAATTTTCACAGGAAGTTATTGATCTATCCAAGAATAAAAATGAGCATTTTTTGGGTCATGGAAAAAAATTTCTTGGCATTTGCCATGGGGCTGCTGCTAGAATATCTGTATTGGATTCGGAAAGAATTGTATTTCAAAGAGAGTCTTTGAACTTTCTAAATGATGCTGCTGCTCTAACAGGAAATAATGACCCAGAAGTGCTATTCAGCCTGGGTTTGGAAAATGCTATTCAAAGAAATTTAAATGCAGCTTATGATAGTATAATGATGTACTCAGACATGATGGCTGGCAGCTCAAAAAGAGGTTGGCAGCTGTTAACACTGATAGTATCAGCACAACAGCGGTTTAAGGATGCAGAAACTATAGTTGATTTTGCTTTAGATGAGGTTGGTAGTGTAGATCAGTTAGAACTACTGAGACTGAAAGCTGTACTTCAAATTACTCAGCAGCAACCCAAGCAAGCAATAGAGACCTACAGAATCTTGCTAGCAGTAATTGAAGCAAAAAAGGAGCATTGGCTTGAAGATAAAACATTCAGGCATCAGGTGTGTATTATTTTTTTAGGGAAAGCACTATAACATCCATTGTAGAGACTTGAATTAAAATTGACTGTAAAGAAGCAAAACAAGTAATTGCTCGTCTGTTGGAAGTTTCTGAGAAGTAAGAGTTTATATTGAGACTGGTTAATTAAATTTGAAACCATTAACCAATACTCCTTTAGTCCTTTACCTTGTTATATGCAAGAATTTTTAATTCTTTGTGGCTCAACATCCAATGCTTATACTAAAACGCTATTTATGGTTAGGGTCTTAGAGACAGTTTTGAATATTCGTAGTATAAGTACTTAATTCGTCTCCTGAATCCTTCAGAAGAATTTCAGTCCTTGACTTTTCATCTGTTTGCAGGCTTTAGCAGAACAGAAGCTAGAAATGGAAGCCTGGCAGGATTTGGCTACCATTTATGCAGATCTTAGTTCCTTTCTTGATGCGAAAGCTTGTGTTGACAAAGCCCAGTTGATAGAGTTTTTTTCTCCCAGAAGTTGGCATATTACTGGTATGGAACTTGACACACGACTGTTCATGTTTTCATTGTTGAATTGCTGTATGTTTCTATGTTCTGTTTAGAGCACCATGAATTAACAAATAACCAATCTGCAATTACCTGGTTGTGACAATGACAGGGTTGTTGTTTGAAGCTCAATCATTACATAAGGAGGCCTTTGTTTCCTTCACAGTCTCGTTGTCAATAGAACCGGATTACATTCCTAGCATCATTTCAACTGCAAAATTGTTGCTTGAACTTGGCAAGCAATCACTTCCCATTGCAAGAAGCTTTTTGATGAATGCATTGAGATTAGAACCCACAAACCATGATGCATGGTTTAACCTTGGATTGGTTTCAAAAATGGAAGGTTCATTACAACAAGCAGCAGATTGCTTTCAAGCTGCATATGAGCTGAAGCTTTCAGCTCCAGTACAAAAGTTTGAGTGATTGAGGCCTTGGGAAAACTGTAATTTTTGTGGTTGAGGAAAAAAGTGAGCTCGACCAAGAGCATTATAGAAAAGCCATGAGCAGAAACTAATGTAAAAAAAACATAACCTTGGTTTATTAATTTGTTAAGAAAGTATAGCTAAATCTAGCTACTTATGTTAAAAAATATTTTCTTTTTATGATTTACTTCATCATGTTCCAACGAAATGTCTTTTAACATTTGACGAGTTTGCACGGAAGGACAGAAGCTTGGCTTCCCAAGTGGTAAATAACTCTATATAAATGTACTGTAGTGTTGTGTCTCCTGTGAGGTGTAACGAGAGGCTAATCCCTGCATGTGAAGTGCACACACAAACACAAATAGCATGGGTTACTAATTAGTAATTGACTTTTCAACGAATACCTATAACATTCTTTTTTGTAAAATACACTCACTTAGAAAAGTAATACTCATCGTTTAAAGCTCATGTGCTACGAATTTATTTCCATGATTGGGTTAAATAACATTTTTACTACTATGATTTTGTATTTTCGCTCTTAGTTATTTTAGACACATTTAGTGCATGTCGGAAAGAAAACAATTTTTTTTTAAAAAAATAATTGCTTATATTTCAGAAGCACTTAGAGAAAATTGACAAAATCGTACATTTTTATATAATAAGTTTGAATAAAAACTACATTTAAGATTTGTTTCGATAAATTTTTTTTAAACCAATTATTGGAAAAGGAAATGAAAAAAAATAAAATAAAATAAACTTTCCAAGAAGTTAAAATATTTTTATAAAAAAAAAGTAACTAAAGGGAGCTTCGATAATTAATTCATGCATAAATTAATTTTTATGTGTAAATAAATTAATATTTTTTTCTATTGAATACATTTAGAGAAATTTATCCTAATAGATCTTATTTCTTGAAATAGCCAAAGATGGATAGTAGGGTTGCAGGAAATATTAGTCGTACGAATAATATTCGCGCAAAATAAATAAAGCAGAATTTTAGAGTTGTCATTTTTCAGGGCTACACTTGATTCATTCGCTATATGTAAGAAGCTTAAAGTTGGAATAAGTAAACTAGTTGACGAGTTAAATGTGTATGGAAACTAGAAGTAAATGGAGTTTGTGAAATATCATGCAATAGAAGAGGAAAATAAACTTCCATCTCAACTTATCCACGTTTCCATTCACCACGAATTCTTTACAAATTTACAATCAAACACTATTTCTTGGTTTGGAAAACAACAAATTGCACTTGTGATACAATTGTAGTAAAGATCTTTACATCTTTACAAGGGAAGCATACGGGGCATAGTAGATTTTTGATTGGACCTGCCATGGATATTGTAACACAAGAAAAGAAAACTAATGAAACAAAATTATCTCCTAAACAATAGAGATCTTTACATTCTATGAAGTGAAAAGGTTCATGATATTTTCTACTCTAACAAAATATATGTCACAAACACGATACCAGTGGTCCTAAACTAATCGACACAACCTCAATAAATCAGTGAAGCTAAACTAATTCAACTGACAACATGTTTTGGCTTCCTAATCAAGTCAAGCAAAATCTAAGTCCAATTTCCACATCCATATAAAAGCTACTCTATATAGCTTCAAGTTTTTGTGTTGATCCACATTTGGTTCTAACGCTGAACCAAACACACTTGAGTTGGGGAGATTCAGTATGTCAGTTAGTTTTTGTCCAGTTCAGAGACAGAATTTGAAATAATGGGTTTAACCCAAGAAAAATGGAATGTATTGATTGGCAAGAACCAAATAAACCTAGTGTATATAGAAATCAAATGTTGTGCTACCCTCTCCCTCCCACTTGCATTTTAAACTTTAAATAACTGTATTTTTGTGAAAGAGTGGCAAGTGGTGTAGTTAAGTACCATTTTGCAGATAATGCTATATTACTACATTTGCAGTGCATAAACAGAATGTCCAGGAAAAATTAAAAATTTAATTATCAATTTATCATCAATATTTTATTAACATGCTAACCCGACTCAAACTTTTTTCACCTTCGTAAGTACTATAACCGCATTTTGGACAGTGAGCTGCATTACTGTAGACATTAAACTTTTATGGAAGTCTTGTTTATAGCCAAATGACTAAAAAAGATTGAAAATTCTAGTCTGTTCGGAATATGTTTCCTCACATTTTTCCAAATTGGTTCAATAAAAAATAAGCATAAACTCAAACTCTTGTCGTCTATGTCTCCTTTTCTACGTATTTTCATATTGATATTAACACTAGTTGTCTTGAAACAAATTCTGTTAATAACAAAAAAAAAAGTTATTTTTTTGTAGAACATTAAAACAAACTATATTTCATAACAAAATAAATGGGCAAAGTAGAATTCATCAGAAAGATTATTCACCTTACACGTAATAAAAAGTTAACTCCAACAAACAGAATGTCTAACCTCAACCCATTTGCCACTGCATCCACAGATGAAAGAGTCAAAATATATCATCAGTGAGGTCTAATAAAATGAGTAAGGTACAAATCTATTTGAAGATAGTTAGACAAAAAGCACAGGCAATAAAGCAGCATATTACAGGGCAATGACATTTTTAATGAAATTGAAAAACTAATTGCAACATACTCTTAAGAAGCACTGAACCTATATCCAGAATTATATGATAATATTTTAGCAAATATAATTGCAGTATCAGTTAATAGTTTCTGAAAAAATATGTGGTGTCTTGAATCACCAAACCTTTAGAACTGGTTCGCCTTTGTTGGAACTTGCAGACTGCTTGGCTAGTCCTTGTTGATGTGCACGTGCAGCGCGTCCCGCCGCAGAATTCTCAAATTGCTCTTGCCTGCAATTCAATCAACACATATAAATCAGTCAACAGTTACTTATGCAGTCACTAACTTACAGCAACATTAAAATGTCTTTTTGTTGTTTCATGCTTCACCCCATATCTAAAAATAGGCTGCATTTCATTTTCTATTTGTTAGTTGCAGAGAGCCTTGCACTGATTTTCTATTATGACTTCCACAAACAATTCAGAACGTTTAGTAGCACCTCACAGTGGCATGAATAAACAATCCCCATGGACAATTGAAGTAAATTTGCCCCCGAGATAAACTTTTCCATAAGTACTTAAAGGAGAAAAAAATAGAGGGGAAAAACGACATTAGTTTATACATAAACTAATTTGTAGAAGTTCTCTCATATTAATTTCTTCAAAAAATTTTATTTTTAATTTATTTATAAACTAATTTTAATTTATCGGAAAACTTATTTTATTTTTCCTTCCAATTTTCTTCTCCTACAAGTATTTTTGGAAAAACTTATTTAAACATACTCATCCTAGTATTTGTTTAATGTCTCTAGTGTGTGAAATGCATTACATAGCAACACCGACATATCAATGCATGACATTCAAGGGCGAGAAGCAGCAATGATCTCTATAAACAAAATTAAGGCCTTGGAACTGCAAATTGGGCTTAATTAATGTTCTGATGGGATAAAAATCATAAAATATAACACCAAAAAGTGTGATTTTCTAGAAAAGCAAAAGGGAAGTGAAAAGCAGACACATATTGCATGCAGACACAATGATAACAAAAACAGATTAACTCTACACAAGTACAATGATTAAGGGTCTAACAAACCATGTGGGTATACAAATAAAAACCCAAATCGTAAATTTTTTTAATTTTTGCAGGAATTTAGCGGTTGTTAAGAATAAAGATCATAGAATATTGTTGGAATTGAATTGAGAAATGGATAAAGGTGAACCTTTTCTGTGCGGCTTCAGCAGCTTTGGCTCGCGCTTCTTCAGAGGCCAATCTCTCTTCTTCCTTGCTCATGCGTTTGTCTACACCGAAGCAACCAAAGCAAAGACCCATCTTTGATGTTTACTTTCTCTCTCTGTGATGTGTGATCTGGGTTCACCTTCTGTGACAATCTCTATTTCATTTTACTTTTTTTATTTTCGCACCGTGTCACCATATATATTAATTCTGGATCAGCAAATAGAATGATAATTCATATTAAATTATTAATGTTGCAAATTAAAGAGGCTAAGCTTTTCTGCTTTTCTTGTCCACGTGTGTATTCCGCGTTACGATTACGTTGCGTTGCGTCAACCTTGATATTAGACTTATGACTGACGCATATTAATTGTGAAAGCAATTTTTTTATGCAAACCAAAAGAGACTTTTTTTTTTTATAGAAAAAATTATATTAGAACAAAGGATGAGCTCATGTGACACAGAGATTACCAATTTTTTTAAAAAATAAAAAATCAGCTGAATTATGCATCATTTAATATATATTTGATTCAGATTTTTAACATGATAAATCATGTTTGAATGAAAAATTATCAGTTATAACTTTTACGTTTTAAACATAATTTTTACTTTAAATTATATTTTAAACACGTAACTAAACATGCACTTATATCATCTTAGCACAAATCCACATAAAAAAAGAAAGTCAAAATATGAAAGAGATAATTTTTATTTAAATAGAACTATTTGAAAAATATTTGTTACTTTTAAAAAGAGGATTTTTATTTTTATAAAGTAAAGGTTTCACATATACTGATATACAACTCAATAAATACGAAAAAAACGAGGTTGTGCGAGCTATTGTTGACGTGAAACTGGGGACAATTACAAAGTAGAACCAAGGTATATTCAACACTGAGGATAGTTATACAAACGCGATTCCATTCCGAATTCCTATATTCCATTTCTCACGGTTGTTGTTTTCTTTTTAATTTACTTTTATAATAGTAATTTAAACTTAGTGCATGTTTGGATTAGATTTTCAAACTTGATTTTACACTCTCTCTCCATGTTGAAGATGGATTTTAAGTGAAAGCAAAATTTTTTTGCTTCAACTAAACGTAAAAATTTACGTTTGCATTGAAACCCAAACATGCACTTAAAATTTTACATGAATTAATTAAACCTTTCATTATTGAGTTGATTCTAGTAGATTTTATAACATTGTATTTAAAGTCAATTGGCTTTACATTTGTGTGTTTGTAAAATACTTGTTGCATCGCATCTTTGCCTAGCGAGCACTCTAGTCACACAACGAAAAGGAAAACTATATTTTGTTTTTTGTATTTTAGTTGGTTCGTGCCTTGAGAAAAGATCGCTCAACAACCTTTATGTGTTTAGCAAAAATCGAGTAGAAAAATAAGTTCGTTAAACTCCCACATTTTTGCTCAGCAAAAATGGCCTGTCTATACTACTGTTTAAATTTCTTGTGCATGCCAAAAGGAACTTGTATGCTTAATTAGCAACTACAAGTGTGTCTTATACATTTCTTTTGATGGTTAATTATATATAGTTTATTAACATGCTTTGGAAATGAAAGAAATCATTTCTTACAAGAAAGCTCTCTCGATTCTTATGGAAGAACTCAATTCTTATCAAATGGATTAATCTTTGTGGTAAATCTTCATTAACTCATCGATCCGTTAAGTTGTGGCTTTTGTTCATTTTTCATCTATTTTTCATTCTCTATTTACTATTGTGATTACGTTCTTATTTTGTGTGATGATAGATGAACTAATTGTCGAAAACAATCAATAATTTTCTTTCCAAGGATTGAATTGTATCACTTAGTTTGTTGTTGATCTTCTAGTGGCTATGTTTGAGGTATGAATAGATGATGTTATGTGTATTGTGATGATTGATATATTGTGACTCTTGTGATATTAGTGTGTTGTGAAGTCTAAGTTGGTGGCTTACCCATATGAAAAGTTGGACATGTGAGCCTAACTAGGATAAAGTGATATTATGGAATACCATGAAAGTGAACATGTGATGTTGTATGTTTTGCATTGAGTCTTATGGGATGACATGTATCATGTGTAGAAAAGTATTTTCGTGACACGAAATTGGCTTGGAATACACTATTAGAGAAGAGATTCGTGACCTTGGGAACAAGGTTTGGGAAATGTAGTCTCACCCATTGTGTGCATGGGTGAAACTTACGCAACATCATTGTTTCAGCATGCTCTAGTGTATCTTCTCCTTAGTGAAAAGTGTTGGGTGTTAGGCATTTTTGGCTAGGTGTCTTCCATCAACATGTCCTCCTAGACTACTTTGTGCGCCTTTAGGCGACTTTTTTGATTTTGAATGGCATCACATGCATTTAGAATTAGGTTTAGTCATTACATCTTTTCATTTGGTAAGTGCTTTGTGAGTGTTGATGAACATGCTTGATAACTTTGTGCGTTTTGGGATATAGTATTATGCTATGAATTAGATTTATATAATACATGTCAGATCAAAGGACGATTTAGGACTCTTCAAAAGTTATGTTTTAATGTTAACAAATGTGAAGAGACTTTGTGTCTAAAAAATACTTAGTGTTGAAGCCTAGAGGGGTTTTGTTGTTCAAAGAATGCTTGAGAAGTTTGCTTCAAAAGGAAAATCAAAGAACACTTAGATTGAGCCATAAGTTGCTTGTGAAAGAATATTTATATCTTTGCAAAATATGGCAAAAACTTGATCAAGAACCAGACATAGTTTTAGTGGTTGAAATGAACCAATATAAAAAATACTATTATGTGCTTTGATTTACTTTGTCTACACTTCTTCTAGACTTGTTTAACTACTTCACTATTTTGAATAAATGTTTAGTTTTTTGTAAACACTATTTAATCGCCCTTTTTTCTAATGTCTTTCTTTTCTCTAGAGAAGCGAATGTGAGTCATTTATCCTTAAGGTGTTTGATTTGAAAATATCTTCATTGTTTTAAATTAAGTATTTTATTTGGAAAATTGTTATTGTTATTATGTGTTTTAACTAAAGGGGTAGAGTCATAGAAGGTGTCACATTTAGTAGTATCAATGTCTAGTTGATTCAAATTGAATTGTATGTTATGTGTTATGACCATGTTTTTGTGTGTACTCTAAACTATGTTTGTTAGTTTGTTGTTGTTTATCTAATCTATTATTTTATGTGTTTACTTTTCTGCAAATGAACTAAACACTTAATTCTACTCTAGAACCATTCTAGGATTTCCTTTGAGTGCTTTCCTTTTTAAATGTGACTTAATTTTTGCTTGTCTTTCTTGGAATTCTTTGAGTTTTGTCTCATCAATATTCCCTTTGAGTTTATCATTTCTAATTGAGCATTTTTAGTTTTCATTTCCTTGGCCTCCTTCTTGCTCTTGGTTGGTTTACTTGGTGTAGATAAAGTACACTACAATTTTCCCTTACAACTTTTGGGAGATTGAGTGGGAGGAGTTGTTCGTGTAGCCCAAAGTACTTTGGAAGGATTACTAAAAGTATTGGAGTGTAGACACCTTGGGAGAGGACTAACCAAGTTTGCTCATTGTGAAGGAACCACCATTGGAGGCTTGAAGACTTTAATTTCTTGTTTTCTCTTTTGTGCCTTTTTCTTTCCCTTTCTTGTTGTTTTTGTTGGGCCACTTGTGTATTGGTCC